TACTACATTCATGTAATCTGTGAATAAAAAGTTTTACTTCTTTTTTGCCAATACGGGGGTGCCAAAAAATGCGTACACATTTTAAGAAAGAAAAAAACTGTGTAAAATTGTAATGCTCAATATATACCAATAACAAAAGATGAATACAAGTCACGCTTGACTTCTGCAGTTACAAGAGGTGATCAAAGTGGTTATAATCAGCGTCCAGACATTTCTGATTATGGTGTACCTAAAGTAATACATAAATAGCATCTCTTAAAATGTGCATACATTTTTTGACACCTCCAGTATATATGCCTTTTCTTTTCTCATTGCATTGATTAGAACCTCCAATAAAATGTGCAATAGAAGTAGTAAATGGATTGCTTTGCCTTGATCTTGATATAGGGGAAGAGCATTCAGTCTTTCATCATGAAGTATGGTGTTAGCTGTAGATTTTTCATAGCAGCCCTTTATCAGGTAGAATAATTGTTTCCTATATTCTTAGTTTATTGAGAGTTTTTAGCATGAGTCAGCGCTGAATTTTGTGACACGCCTTTTCTTCATCTGCCGAGATGGTCATTAGCTTTTATTTTTCTGCTAATGTGGTGAATGACATCAGTTGATTTTTGAATATCAATCCAAACTTGCATGCCTCAAAAAATTTATTTGGGATGTATTATTCTTTTTATGTACTAGTTAACTCAATTTGTTATTATTTTGGTGTAGATTTTGCTCTCTTTTTCATCAGGAATATTTGTTCTGCAAGTTTCTTTTCTTGTAATGTCTTCATCTGGTTTTGATATCAGAGTAATGCTGTTAAAATAAATTAGTTGAGAAGTGTTTCCTTTCTACTTTCCAAAAAGTCTTATATAAAATTAGTATTCTTTCTTCCCTAAATGTTTGATAGAATTCACTAGTGAAGCTCTCTAGGTCTGGAGAGTTATTTAATGGAAATTTTGTTTTATTTTTTGAATCAGAATCTCGCTCTATCACCAAGGCTAGAGTGCAGTGGCACTCTCACAGTTACTGCAGCCTCCACCTTCGGGGCCCAGGCGATCCTTCTGCCTCAATCTTCCAAGTGGCTGGAACTACAGGCGCACACCACCATGTCTGTCTAATTTTTTAGATTTTATTGTAGAGACAGGTCTCGCAAGTTGCCCAGGCTGGTTTCGACCCCCTGGGCTCAAGCAATCCTCCCACTTTGGCCTCCCAAAGTGCTGGGATCACAGGCGTGAACCACTGTACCCAGCCAGGAAATTTTAAAATTACAATTCAATTTACTTTTCAAAGCAAATTCAATTTCTTGAATAGTATCTTTAAATGAATTGATCTATTTCCTCTAGGTATTCACATTTTTGGCATAAAGTTGTTGAAAACATTCCTTTATTTTACTTTTTAATGCCTGTAGCTCTATTGCTATTAATAGGTCTCCTCATTCATTTCTGATAATAATATGTATTCTCTCCCCCAGTCCTTGATCATCAGTGTAGCTAGGGTTTAACAATTCTGGGCCAGGGACCATGGCTCATGACTATAATTACAACACTTTGGGAGGCTGAGGGAGATTGCTTGAGCATAGCCTGGGTAACATAGCAAAATCTTGGCTCTACAAAAAAAATTTTTTTTTAATTAGCCAGGTGTGGTGACGAGCACCTATAGCCCCAGCCACTCAAGAGGCTGAGGTGTAAGGATTACCTGAACCCAGGAAGTTGAGGCTGAGGTGTGCTGATCTTGTCACTGCACTCTAGCTTGGGTGACAGAATGAGACCTGGACTCAAAAAAAAATTTTTTTCCACTAATCTTTACCCAAAAAATGTAGTTTATATCATAATACTACAAGAAAAGGATTGGCAGTAGTGGGTAACTGCGGGAGTGTGGGAGCGGGGTGGGCATGGGGGAAACAGGGAGGCAGGATTGGCAGCAGTGGGAATCTGCCTGGGGAAGGAGGGGCACACCTCATCAACAAGGGTACCTGCATAACAAACATTTGTATACCTAACCCTGAATTGTACTTCACATCTTTTAAAAAAATTTTTAATTTTAATTTTTAGTATCTAAACAATAGCGTTTTATTGATGAAAGTTTAGTTAAGTGGATATAAAATTGCTGTGTAAAATAAGTGTTTTCAAAATACATTTTGATCGGCAGAGATTATCTCTTAGTAAAAGAATGTTTATGTATTATCAAAAGTACACATTTTGACTTGGGTAGCAAAATAAAAGGGGATTAGAAGTTTTGTTGTTTTTTTTGGAGTTGGAGCCTCACGCTGTCACCCAGGCTGGGGGGCAGTGGCATGCTCCTGGCCACTGCAGCCCCAACCTGCTGGGCTCGGGCGATCCTTCCACCTCAGCCTTCCAAGTAGCTGGAACTACAGGCACATGCCACCATGCACAGCTTATTTTTTAAAATTTATTGTAGAGCTGTCTCACCAAGTTGCCAGGGCTGGTCTCGAACCTGTGGGCGCAGGCAATCCTCTCACCCCGGCCTCCCAAAGTGCCGGGATTATAGGCCTGAGCCACCATGCCCGGCCTGGGATTAGAAGTTTAACAGTGTAGGCCCTCCACCCTGCATAACCATTATTAGGTGGCAACTTCCCCTAAGTACTACTTCTACTCAAACATACACAGGGCTTACAAAAAACTCTTTTTTTAAAAAAAATAACTGACTCTGCATGAATGTACTCTAAAATTATGGAACACTTTTTTAGTACAAAATTCACACCGAGAGCCTAAACATACAGTTTTGGACCATTCACAATAATGTAATAGTGAAGGGGCAATATTAGCAAGAACACCAGATTACTTTCTATAGTACACCTTCATAACTAATATTGTTTGACCTCCTCATTTTATTTTACTTTTTCTGGCCCATACGAAAACCAAAAAACCCTGTCTCATCCTTGGAGTAAGCATTTTCTCCATTTCAAATTCTTCCTGTTGTAGTAAAATGAAAACACTGAACTAGCACCTACTCCCTCCACAACCACTGTCTCCTTTTATCCGTCCCTTTCTGGGTCAAATTTCCCAATGTTAGTAAAAATGATGAAAAAAGCGACCCCCAGAGTGTAGCACAGGGAGACATAGGAGAAAAAGGCAGACAAGGTGATGCCAAGGCCACAGTGCACAGAAAGCAGATCAGGTGTGGCTTCAACTGTGCGTACCTGCTGACCAGCCCACTCTACAGATTTGTAATGTCTTTTACTCTTACAGCACATGGGGTGTACTACACAAAATGAAGGAAATGACAATGGTTGAAAAGAAATGAGTCTGCACATTAAAAAAAAAAAGACCACTGCTATTTTCCTCCCATTAGAAAACCATTCAAAAAAGAAACAGTTCAAGAAAATCAGGAAAAACTGGTAGGCATCTGGAGTTCATGGACCCGAGGTCTTAGGGCAGAAACACTGTCCAATGGCAACCCTGGGTTCAGGGTCATGCCAACCATAGGACGCTGATTTCCACAGCTCAGGTGAAATCTTCTAGACCTACAGTTACAGAAAATATACTGAAAAGCAATATAAAATATGAAAAGGTTGGTTTCTGAACAGGTCAATTGTTAATTTTCCTTAAAAATTATTTTTTAATTTAGTTGAGCAAAAATATTTTCATGCCGGGCTCGGTGGCTCAGCCTGTAATCCCGCGCCTTTGGGAGGCTGAGGTGAGTGGATTGCCTGAGCCCACGGGTTCGAGACCCGCCTGGGCAGCGAGACCTCATCTCTACAATAAATCAAAAAATCAGCCGGGCGTGGTGGTACATGCCTGTAATTCCGGCTACTCGGAAGGCTGAGGCGGAAGGATCGCCGGAGCCCAGCAGGTTGAGTCTGCGGTGGCTGGGAGCGGCCACTGCACTCCAGTCTGGGCGACAGAGTGAGACTCCAACTCAAAAAAAAAAAAATTTTCATTGTCTAGGTAAGAATCGTCGTTGTAATATGAAAATTGGAGCTCAAAGCCACTTTTTCTCTGTAGCACAGTGTAACCAGTATTAGTGGAGAACACGACAAAGAGTGGCTTGTGGTGGGTCTTTGCATAGTGGTTTTAAAAATGACCTACCATTAGAATCCAGAGATTTCTTTAAATTCACCTCTCAAAGCTCTGTTTTTAAAAAGCTATTTAAGAGCCGGGCTCAGTGGCTCAGCCTGTAATCCCGTGCTTTGGGAGGCTGAGGTGAGTGGATTGCCTGAGCTTGTGGGTTCAAGACCCACCTGGGCAACTTGGCGAGACCTCATCTCTACAATAAAATAAAAAAATCAGCCAGGCATGGTAGCGTGGGCCTGTAATTCCAGCTACTTGGAAGGCTGAGGTGGAAGGATTGCCTGAGCCCAGCAGGTCGAGGCTGCGGTGGCCGGGAGCGGCCACTGCACTCCAGTCTGGGCAACAGAGTGAGACTGCAACTAAAAAAAAAAAAAAAAAAGCTATTTAAGTATAAACTTATATCTCATTAGGTAATTCTATTGTTTTATTTGGTTAGCAGAGTAATGTGTAGATCTATTAACAGTATTGAATTATAGCAGCAAAACTGGTTTTAGGTGTTGTGCACCAACATAAAAGCAGGAAAATTAAGAGTCTCTACGTGGTGTGATGTGGTAAGCAAATGGCCTTGCACCAAGTCAGCACATCTTTCTACATCACTTAGTACTGGTCTCCACCACTCAGGAACATTCTGGGTAAATCTGAATGTTCTGAATACAAATCAAGAGTGTTCATCAATGATTAGTCAGGCTAGCGAAACCAAAGAAATTCAATGTTAACTATACATGCTGACTGATTCTTGGAAATCAATTCTACCATTAGTGGTTAGTTAGGGAGGAAGAAAATGAAAATGGAAGTTCACCTCATAAAATATAGAGTGTAACGTAATATAGCAATAAAAGACAAATGTCTAAAGTACTTCATACAAAAAAATCAGAAGTTTCAAAAAATTACACTCTCGGCACAGGTACTGTGAAACGTGGATGAGCACTTTCCCAATGATCTCTTACGCATTTGGAATGTTTTCTTGTTGATCCAGGAAAGTGTTTTTTATATGGGCACATCACCTCGCACGTGGTGCCCGAGAGCCCCGCCGTCGCCATCCCCGCCCTGCCTCTGCGTCTGCATCTGCGCCTGCATCCTTGCGATCGTCTCTTGCGTGCGGCAAAGCTCGGCTTCCTTTTCCGGCAAGAGCTGGTCTTTGTTCACGGCCTCGTTCCCCACTTTCCCTCCACCTCTCTTGAGCCTCTCGGAACGGAAGTTTTCATCGTGAAGGTCCTGGGTTACCTCCTGGAGATGTTGCATGCGGGTGATGAGCATGGTTCTAAGCTTCAGACAGTCATTGTGTTCCGGGTTCTCCACCTCCACAACCCCCCACGGGGAGAGGCAGCCCCTGACCTTCTGTCTTTGGCTTCAATTAACGGATTGGATCCAACCACAGAGGATGGGATGCTGGCCTTGAGAAGTCTAGTCTGCTCTTTGAAATCTTCATCTTCATCAAGTAAGTGATCGATTTTTTTTTTTTGAGTTGGAGTCTCACTCTGTCGCCCAGACTGGAGGGCAGTGGCCGCTCCCGGCCACCGCAGCCTCGACCTGCCGGGCTCCGGCGACCCTTCCGCCTCAGCCTTCCGAGTAGCTGGAACTACAGGCGCGCGCTACCACGCCCGGCCGATTTTTGCTTTATTGTGGAGACAAGGTGTCGCCAGGTTGCCTGGGCGGGTCTTGAACCTGCGGGCTCGGGCAATCCTCTCGCCTCGGCCTCCCAAAGTGCTGGGATTACAGACTGAGCCACCGAGCCCGGCCAGTGATGGATTTTGATGTTATGTTCTTCAATTTCATATAGAATCCTTTTCTTCAACCGCTCCTGTTCCTTCAGAGTCAGAGAGTCAGCTTTTGCAATGACAGGCACCATATTCACCTTATTGTGTATTGCCTTCATAAACACGACATCTAAGGGCTGACATCCATGTCCAAAAGGTGAAATAAAGTAAAAGCAAGAGTGCACCCTGTTATCAATGAAGTGCCGCCTGTTCAAGCCACTCTTGTCATGCAGGTACCGTTCAAACTGCCCATCAATATAGGAGATAATTGTCTTAAAACAATCCCTGCAAATGACAGCGTCACCATAGCCAGGGGTGTCCACCACTGTCAGGTGTAGCTTAACCCCTCACTCTTCAATTTCAACAATTGAAGCCTCAATCTGGACAGTTATTTCAATTTTCTCTGCAGCTCCAAGTATGATCTTTCTGGGTAGAGGTCAGTCAGGAAAAGGCTGTTTATGAGAGTCAATTTTCCTAGACCTCATCCACCAGCCACCATTAGTGTGAACTAAAACCTTTTTTCATTGATTTTCGGTGAACTTGATTGGGAAACTTTGCAAATCCAACATAGGCAGGAATCTCTGGATTTATAAACTGAGTTGGTTATTGCTTAGACATCTTTTGTGAAGTTTCGTCTTATGAGCTTGGTTTTCTTATGCTAATAAGAGTGGAACAGGTAATGAGAGTCTTCACCTTGTGGTGGGCAACTAGAGTGAGGGAAAGGGCGTTTCTTTGGAAGGAGGCAGGTGACAAATGAGGAGAAGAGAGGCAATTGGGGGAGGGCAGGAGGTGGCATGAGTGCAGAACGATCATGGGGAACCCCACATCTTTAAAATAAAAAATTAAAATTTAAAGTAAATAAACAAAATACTATTTAGGTTGCTGTTATGAGGATGAAGCAATAGAAAAATGTGTGTTAAATTTGATAAAATGCACTTAACTTTTTATTCAATGAAGATTTATACAATTAGACTTATATATTTTAAAAAAAGAACTCATGTGATTAGATTAGGCCCGCCTGGATTATTAAGCATAAGGCTTCGAGGTCTGGTTACTTCAATAATATATGCAAAGTTCCATTTGCCATGTAATGTAAAATATTCACATATCCCTGCAGATAGGGGCATGGCCATCTTTGGTGGACTATTATCCTGCCCACCACACTGTAGGAACAGCGTTTTTGAAGGATGCAGGATGACGAAGGTAATAAATAAATGTAAATGTTAAGAACACTAAAATTAACTGTAAATATTTTATGTGAGATTAAACTATTTATTTTTAAATATAAAAAATTTAACACTGTGAAAAGGCCTGTCTTGGAGCTTTGTGTTTTGTGACAAAAAGGTTTTCTTTTTTTTTAATGATTCTCAGAGGGGACATTTTAGAAAAAATTTTCTACATTTTCTACTAAGGAAACATTAATTCAAAGTGTATATTAAAATATTTAATTGATATATCTAAAGCTTGCATTGCTATAATTTTTTTGTGTTTCACAAGCCATTTTATTTAAAATAGACCATCTTGCTGGTCTGGAACTAATTTAAATAAAATTGAAAAATTACAAAAAATTTAGTTTAATTTATTTTCTCTATTATCTGATTTTTGTTTCATTGATTTCTGCACCTTATTTTTTTCTTTTTTTTACTTGGTTTAGTTTGCTCATTTTTTTCAAACTTTTTATATAAAGTGGAATCTCAAATTATTGATTTTAAATCTTTCTCCTTTTGTATTATAAATCATTTAAATTTATAACTTTTCTACTAACATTGCCTGAGCTAAATCCCACACATTTTGATATGTTTTGTCTTCATTATCATACGGCTTGAGATAGTTTCTAACTTCTCTGATAACTTCTTCTTTGATCTACTAATCAAGAATGTTTAATTTGTTTAATTTTTAAATACTTGGGGATTTTCCAGATGTCTTCTATGACTGAATTCATTTTTAGTTAAATTGCAATCAGAAAATATGAATGTCCCACATGCATGAGTATGTATTCTGTGATTGTTCAATGTCCCACATGCATGAGTATGTATTCTGTAATTGTTCAATGTATTGTTCTGTAAATGTCAAAAGATTGAGTTTGTTGATAGTGTTGTTCAAGTCTTCTGCAGTCTTACTGATTTTCTGTCGATTAATTATTAGGAGATAAGTATCGAAATCTCCAACTATAATTGTAGATCTTTTTTTATCCTTTCAGTTCTGTCTGTTTTGTTTTGTATATGTTGATGCTCTTTTATTAAGCACATACATACTTATGGTTATGTGTCTTCTTGATTAATTGAAACTTATAATATGTTCCTCTTCATCTATATGAATCTTGTGGTTCTGAAGTCTGTTGTTTGATATTAAGATTATGATTAAAATCTTAATATGCTATTTGATTTTAAGATTGCATTGCTTGATATAAAGTTTAAGATTATGATTGATTCCAGCTTTCATGACTATTAGTGTTTGCATGGCTTTCATGAAATAAATGTTTGCATAGGATATTTTCTTCTGTCCTTACACTTTTAACCTCTCTGTGTCATTTATTTATGGGTGGGTATCTCTGAATCAGTATTTAATTGGGTCTTCCTTTAAAAAAAAAATCTACAGAGACTTTGCCTTTGTATTTTGATTAGAATATCTAATCAATTTACATTTAATACAATTTTTATATGGCTAGTTTGTTTTTTAATAGAGACAGGGTTTTGCTCTATTGCCCAGACTGGTAAATGTACTTGGTGCAATCACAGCTCACTGCAGCCTCAGACTCCCAGTCTCAAGAGATTCTCCTGCCTTAGTCCGCTAGACAGGCGAGACTATAGGTGCATGCCATCACACCTGGCTATATGGCTAGTTTTAAGTCTATCATCTTGCTATTTGTTTTCTATTTCTTTCATATGTTCTTTGTTCATGTTTTCCTTTTTCTCTGCCTTCTTTTAGATTGAGTATTTTTTAGTATTCAAGGTGGTTTATTGGCAATATGTTTTGTTTTGTTAGTCATTGCTCTAGGATTTACAATTCTCACCTTTAACTTATCATACTCTACCTTTAAATAAAACAAATTCGAATATAATTTGAGAAGCTTACCATAGTATATTTTCATTCCCCCAGCTCTTTGTGTTACAGTTTATATACATTTTACTTCTACATTCATCAGAAAGTGCAATACAGTGTAATTAAAAAAAAAAAATAGGCAAACTCAGTAGCTCATGCCTGCAATCCCAGCAATTTGGGAGGCTGAGGCTGGAGGATTGCCTGAGCCCAGGAGCTGGTAACAAGACCAGGCAATGTGGCAAGATTTTGTCTCTACAATAAATCAAAAAGTAGCTGGGCATTGTGGTGTGTACTTATAGTTCTATCTACTTGGAAGTCTAAGGTGAAAGGATTGCCTGAGTCAGCAGGGAGAGGCTGCGGTAGCCATGAATATGCCACTGCATGCCAGTGTGGACAACAGGGTGAGACTCTGACTAAAAAAAAAAATTGGCTGGGTGCGGTAGCTCAAGCCTGTGATCCCAGCACTTTGAGAGGCTGAGGCAAGAAGATTGCCTGAGCTCAGGGTTTCGAGACCAGCCTGGGCAACCTCGTCTCTACCATAAATCAAAAAATTAGCCAGGCGTGGTGGCATGCACCATTGGTTCCAGCTTCTTGGAAGACTGAGGCAGAAGGATCACCTGAGCCTAGCAGGTCGAGGCTGTGGTGCCCGTGACTGTGCCACTGCACTCCAGCCTGGGTGACAGAGTGAGATCCCGACTCAAAAAAAAAAAAGAAAAAGTAAGGAAAATAGCCTTTAACACTTACCTTCATATTTGCCTTTTCGAGTACTTGATTCTTTGTTCCTCCATTTATTCATTCATGTTTCCACCTGGCATAATTTTCTTTCAGTCTAAAAAAATTTTCTTTAACTTTTCCTAAACAGTATGTATATTGGTAATGAATTCTGAGCCTTGTTTATTGGAAATATCTTTATTTCACCTTCATTTTTTAAGTTTTTTTTCTTGATATAGATTCAAGTTTGTTAGTTTTTATTTTTCTTTCATCACTTTCAATGGTTTTTCCACTGTGCTCTGATTTGCATTATTATTATTATTTTTTGAGTTGGAGTCTCACTCCGTTGCCCAGGCTGGAGTGCTGTGCACGTTCACAGCCACCGCAGCCTCGACCTGCTGGGCTCCATGATCCTTCTGCCTCAACCTTCCAAGTAGCCAGAACTACAGGCGCACGCTACCAGGCCCTGCTAATTTTTGATTTATTGTGGAGATGAGGACTCGCCAAGGTGTCTGGGCTGTTCTCAAACCAGCTGAGCTCAGGCAGTCTCCTGATCTCAACCTCCCAAAATGCTGGGATTACAGACTTGAGTCACCGCACCGGGACCCAGCTAGTTGTTTTTAAGTGATACAGCAATAAACAGGCAAACCCACAAACATAATGATATTTATACAACTTCTAGCCTTGGGCCTGTACGGAAATGCAAAGTTTACCAGACTCTCTACATTTTGAATTAACTACACTTCCCTCAGGAGAGAACGCCAAGGAAGTCGCTGTCACTCCAATGCCCAGCAGGGAAAAGAAATTAGTGAACACTCACTCTTGGTAAGTGGCATAAAAGGCCATTTGCAAGCCTGGCACTATTCCAACAGCTGCAGTGAAGACTCAGGCACTGAAGGCGACAAGGGTTTGGATGCTCCCATGGCCTGAGTCAGCAGGCCTGCTGGTGCTCGGTGTCAGCACTTTCCGGTCAGAAAGTGACTTGCTGGATATCCTCCTACTTTCTGTTGAAGTGAGTGTCTCAGGGAAATTGATTCCAGTCCTCAGATCCAGGCTGGACCATTAACTCTGTAAATCTTATCAATCCCTTAATAAGGGTCAGAAATGTCTATAATTCCTTTCCTGTGAGAGTCCTTTTTATGAGGTCCAGCCCACATGCCCCTCCCATCCTTCAAGGTATAGGCTTCTCTGGCATGTCCTTCCTGATACCAGCCCCAAGTCCCCCGGTTCAAAATGATGGCTGCTGCCTTTGGCTTTTTTCTGTGCCTCTTTTTATCATCTTCTGCTCTGTGCTGTCTTTGTAGCAGCACCTGTCTTGTGTCGTCTGTTGATAGAATAAATGGCTTTCAAGTTAGGGACCTGTACCTACCAGTTTCTCTTTGCATCTTTCTGCCCCAACCTCTTACCCTCATTTTCAGTGCATTGCAGAATGCCTAACACAATGATTGCTTATTGAATAAATGAATGAATGGCTTGAAAATATATTATTTGTTCACTTGATTTCACCACATTTAAAACAACAAAAACACTTTATTCATAGAATTACTCTGATTCAGCAATAAGTTTGTATTCTCTAGTTTAATCTACAATTCCACATTTTAGGTTTGCAACTTTGGGTCATGTAAATCCTTAAAAATAAGCCGGTCACTGCAATCACCCGCAAAACCGCAGCTCATAAACATAGCCAGGTCCTTCTAAATGAGCTTGATTTTCTCATATGCTTTGCTTATTCTAAGCAGAGTTTCATTTTCTGTTCCATTGTTCTTTGAAGCTATGACAGAACCCGCCCCCCCTCCCCCCCCCCCGCTCCTGTGTCCATTTCTTGAGCTCCTGACAGCTCAGTTTTGGTCAGTAGTGGGCAGTTAAATTTCCTGAAATGCCACACAGACTAGCCAAAAGACAAATTTTCAGCAGAAACAAGAGGGACAGCAAACAGAAGAGCCTGTTTTCAAATTTCTCAGACCGTATGCAATTCAGAAACACTAGCTAGCCTCCCTTTGAAGGTTAGAAAACAATTTAATGCAGAAAAAGTAAAAAGCATGCTAACATTAGCAGACAT